TAGCTACTGAACAAACTGCAAACCCGATGATCAGTCTGTCAAGGCAACTACAGCAAACTTTGCCACCATCTGCTATGGCCTCTACCTGGTCATCTTTGCAGCCCCAACAACAGCTTGCGTTGCAATCAATCCTCTCTTCGTAGAACCGGCAAAATGAGGTTGACAAGTTGCTCTTCTCAAGGATTGCTGTCCAGTCGGTGGGTCGAATACATGCATTTGTCACCCATTCTTTTCCATAAATGATTGCCATTGCATGATGCTTCGAAAGATTGAAAACATATAATCTCCAAAAGTTTCTTGGAAGACACATGTAAAATTCGGAATAAAATAAATAAATAAATAAATATATAATTCCGAATTTTATAATTTCGAAAATTACTTAATAAACAAAAAAACAACCTTTCAAATAATAAAAATTAATAAGATAATCTTACGAAATAAAATAAAAATATAAAGGGATTAATGCTAAGTGCGCCTAATAATCGCGCACCCGAGGTATTGTGTGGACTAGCACCCCATTGTCTTCACTCTAAAGAGCAAGATATTCCAGTTATAAAGTGGCCACTTTCTCAAAACTTTCTATGTGACAAAGAAAATGACTATTTTGTTTGTTTTACAAACAAACAACCAACACCATTGCATGATATGCTTCAGAGCATTCCTGCGTGATGAGTGTGGAGTCACCTCTACAAGTGAACTTTTTTCTGTAGCATGTGTATAGTGCAAGCATTAAGTCTATACTTAAGTTTTGAGTCCCATACTATGCCATGAAAAGGATCAACATCCCTTTGGTGCATGCGGTTTGAGGATTGTCTGGCAGGCAATTCTTGTGGCAGTTTTGGTCCCATCTTGTTTATGTGTCGTCCGTTTTTGTTTCGGCTCATACTTGCTGGCATAATGTATCAACGGAAATCATGCATTGTAATTCTTTCACTGGGTCTGCACCTTGTATTTGAACACTGGGCTGGTGGGGGCTGGTGTCGCTTCTTGAAATTTTGTGAATAATTAAATTATATTCTGAAGGTTTTTGAGTTTTGGTATACAATGTGGAGTTCCACTATAATTTTCTGGCAATTGTCCATTTTTGTTGCCAATGCTCTAAGCAGTAGGGCTTTGTGGAATTTCGCAGTCATGAGTAAATTGCATGGAAGACCTGTCTGGAAAGATCTGAGGTCCTCTGCTGCATTGCTTCCATCAAAATTCTTTCAAGCTTCAAACTTTAACTATGTTTTTGTGTAGACAGATGGATGGATACACCCGAAACGCAAATATGGATGCACCCTAAGTGCCCACTGTAGATCGGTTTGAGCGCTTGGGGATCTAATCTGCTGTCTCGTTCCGAACTCATCGGCTTTACCGTTTGCCGTCAGGCCGCGTCTGTCTCATACTCACCATCTCGATTCGTGTAAGAACACCTAATAACAGTAATGTGTGGGTTAGCAGATGTGAATCCTGATGCATGTCTATAGGCTTGGCAAGGGGATCTGGTGGACAAAGTATTGATTTTCATGCAGTTTGAGTGGAGAATTCAATTGCACTCCCCCAATATCTCTGATGACTCCAAAGGAGCCCGATCATAATAAAAAGCAGAAAACTGGACGACCCCTTGGGTTTTGACTGAGCGCGATGTGGCCGAGCGGATCATTTTATGCTTCTATAGTAGAGAGTTACCGTTCCCTTCGATGAGTTTGAAATTTGACTCTTGCAATTGACAAATTGCGAAATCTGGGTGCTATATTCGTCACGGGGGGGCGATGGAGTCGATGCGAGCTCGGCGTACATGACTAGCCGGAGAGGGGAAGAGAGGCGATCGCGGTGGTTGCTTGAGGAGACACTTCCCAGCTTGGGCCCGGTGATGATGATGGTGGTCGGAGGGGGAGGGGAGGCAAGGCAGGGGCTAAATTTTAATGGGCTAGGCGTGTGCAAGAGGAGATTAAGGTTCCCATTTTTCAAAAACATGATATCTTGTATCGCTTATGAAAATGAATGAACGATAAATATTTTTATTATCCACAAAAATATTTAAACTCATCGTCGATAATGAAAATATTTTCATTGACTAATTATCTCAAACGATATAAATAATCAATTTTAGGAAAATATTTTTCAAATCATTCATTTTTCGCAAAACAAACGGAGCTTAAGATTATCTACTATGTAGATGAACAATTAAAATTTCTGTTAGAGTCACTTTGCGGGAGTTGATAAAAGAGGAAGTGCGTAGTCTTTCCCATACAATCAAGCAGTTCAAGTTCATAGCCACAACAACTAGGGCTGTGCAATAGGTCAAATTCTACCTTGGAACCAGACCGAACTGGTCATGGAAACAGGTTCGATTCTTGGTTTCAGAGAAAATAGGTCCACACTAGTACTGTGCAAGGAGGCTCCAGGTTTTGGGTTCTGAACCCACCCGCTCGAGAAATGACGGTTGGAACCTATTTATGAAGTTGGAAGAAAATAATTTATCTTTCATAAATGAACTCTACTTCCTTGTTTCTTTATATTTCTGCTTGTTTTGTATCAATATTTAACATTGAGCCATTTTGTTCCTCGTACTATTTTGCTGAAACTGTTATTAGTTCCTCGTAGATTTTTGCTAAAAAATAAGAAACCGGTTCTTGGGTAGACCCTAAAACCAAATCGGAAAAAAAAAAAAGAAGCTAGGTTCCAAAGTCCAAAACTTGGAAACTGGTTCTAACATGGTAGGTTCCAAATTTTAGGTCTGGAACCTACCCACTCTGGAACCAATCACTCAGTTGGAAACGATTGATGATTCGCATCATGTCCGCAATCTCTTTTGATATGTGATTTGTAATATGACCTTTAGGCCTGTATATTCTGGCGTTGGCATGGGGTAACCTCCCCACCTTATAAACTTTTTCTTATCAGAAATAAAAAAAAAGTTTCTCATTTGTGAGTAACTTGTACTGTGGATGGAGATAGAGAAGCTGAAAGAAAACTACTAAAGAATCATCCATTCAAGTGAAAAAGATTGTAGTGGCCTTAGAACTATGGTGTCCACATTACCACAAGGTTTTTCACCAAAAAGAGCTAAGTAACAACTATTTGTGGACTAGTTTGATGAGAAAATATCGAGATAATCCCGAGTTTGAGGAAATTTGAAATGAAGGATATTTATTAAGTTGGTTCTCGGAAAATCTCGAACGGATCATTTGTACTTACTTCAAAAAGGAAGTGCGTGAATATTATTTTGTCCATAACTCTCTGCATATTAACAAGGGTGACGGCAGCGAGAGATTCCTTCGATGCACACCCACGAGCCGAAGGAAAGCGTTTTTGCTTGCGTGGGATTCTGTTTCATATTTGAAAGTTGCCATTCATCTCTCTCTCTCTCTCGCGCGCAGGGCCATCTTCACAACCAAGAAGAGAGAGAAATGGGAGACTTTGACGGTTCATTGCGTCGTGGAGTGTAGGTGAGGATACAATTGGGTCAGGGATCAGCTGCTCAGGTGACTAGAAACATGCTCAAGGAGGAGGGTCTTGGTGCATTCTATAAGGTAATGCTTTTCCGTACTGTTTGAAGCTTCAACGTGACATTTTTTAAATGACAGGTCTTCTGAGGAACCTATGCTTTCGCGATCGATCTTCATGGAATCTTCACGTGGTGTTCTTTCTTCCAGGAAACGAAAACATCAGGCTAGAATAATAAGTGGAGTTGTCAAAGAAATACTGATCCGTTGGTTAGCTTCGAGGAATGACCAGTTAAGATGGCCAGTGAGTATTGTTGGTTGTTGCCATCGAGAGTCAGCTATATACGTTGAGCAGGAGCACAATGCGGCTTCACTTTTGAAACTTCACATGCTGCAACAGGTCCCAAAAGAGTGATTGCTTTGATATTTCAAATCTGATTTGTCGCTGGCTAGCAAGAAAGTAAATCTGGTTTTACTATAATGCTCATCGAAGTAGCACTCGACGATAAACGGAATATCAAATCACTGACTGGGGACAAGAGAAGGAAAACTAACATGCTCCCTTTTTTTTTCCTTTAGAATTGAGGATTGCAATAGATTTGGAACTTTTGTGGAGAAGAAATTGAAGTTAAAATGTAAATAAATTGGGCGCATTTATTATATCGTTAATTTTCTTGCATTTTACGGAGGTGAATATTACCCATACCGAAAGGATGTTTATTAGGTTAATTACCGATGTAAAAATTGGTTTACACATTTACTGTTGGATATTGATATGTGTAAGAATTCGATTGTATTATTATTTCCAAGTACACAATGTCAAATATCCAACGGTACGCGTGTAAAAACTTTGCTACACTGACGCGCGGGCGGTGGACCTAACAATTATCTACACTAAAAACATAACAATTATCTACACTAAAAATATTATTTGACCCGCATATAGAATTTACTAATAAGGCTTATTTTCTTCCCGTTAACTGTAAATCTGCTGCAAATTTTTTTCTGAGTTGTAAATATTATCATTCAATAGATATTTCCTTCTCTCTCTCTTTTTTTTTTTATCACATCTCATATAATTAACGTTACTAATGATCTTAAATTTCAAACACTAATGATAAGTAAAAAAAACTACATTCGTGAATGTGACCATGCAGATTGCAATTTACTAGAAAAGGAAGAATATCTAGTTAACTAGGACCTCAAAATGGTTCTATTCGATCCATTGTATCGGAGGTTGTGTTCCTTTCTGCTTTTTTTCGGACTAATTCCCTTTTGCTTTTTTTCGGGCTTCTTCTCATTCTTCTTTGGCACCTACGGTAGAGATCGGAGGTATTTGGCCCTCAGAAGGGATTTGAGTTTTAGATCCTCGGGAAATCCTGGAAAGTGCCTACACCTAATGACTTAAACTGCTGTTCCCATTTCCTCGCTTACCCATTATGAAAAGGTACGCCGTTAGAGTGAGTACGCTTTACTACGACAGTGAAGGAAAAGAAGGAGTAGGAGTAGGAGCTAACCACTCAAAGCACTGAGTGTTAAATACTAGTAATAACAAACAGTAAAGATCACTTTATGTAATGCAGTAGCACACCTTTTCTCTATTTGGATCTCATAAAGATCGTGTTTCATGCTCTTCAGACAAATGTTTCAAGCATAAGTTCATAAAAAAAAAGCAGCATTCCTAAACTTGAATAACACTGGATACCTTCATGACGACACGTTAATTCAACAAACAATTAAATCCACAAGACTGCGTCATCGACACTGAACCGTTGCTGTGTCAATAGAGAAGCTATTTCTCAGAACATATTCGTCGGCCTTCTAACTTTCAGAATCTCAAAAAGAGTTTGCTTTAATCTTATTTGGAGACAGCCAAGAACATAACCTCCAATACCTTGCAATCATTCCTTTGCCCTGTAAACGGAGCACCCGTCAACATTCCTAGCGACTGTGAGGTTGTATATATTTGACCCAGGAGGTAGCTTCTAATACAAGTAAAACATAAGTGGTGAAAGTTGATTTCAAGTTTCAGATTACAACGTATATCTAGACTTACCTGCTCATGTAAGAGTCGTCCTCTGTATTGACAAGTATAGCTTCACCACTTTCAATGAAAGCTGGTACCTGTAAATGTGCACGAAATTGTACCAGTACACAGCACTCAGTCTCTGCATTCTTAAAGTACCTCAGCAGTGTTCATAAACAAATTCCCAGGAAGATAATGGACAACATCTTGAACAGATGATGGCTAACTCAAGAATTGATGCTGGACAGCTCAGAAAAACTCAGTTTCACGAAATATGAGGGCTTTGGTAATATTCAGGAAGCCTACAGAACTGACTATGTTCGGTTTGATCAATGTGCATCACAGGATACTTGCAACCAATGACACCTTTTACCAGCAGCATGCCACCCATTTCCCTGCTTTGGTTGCTCCCTGTTCTTTCAAATGCCAGAAAAATTTATTTTGAAGTTTAGACATGCACTTACTACTTTGATGAATATATGAAGCCATCCCCAATGAGTATGCATCAACTTCCTTTTGTAGAATCTGTATTTTATTTTTTTGGCACTGCTGTGTAATAGTTCGGTTCAGGTAATTGCTTATCTAGAGTTTGTCAAAATTTCCAGGTGCATGTGCATTGAGTCTATTTACTACTCACACAAACTTGTTGCAATGCAAGCAATAATTAGCACATCGGATAGAATATTTAGCAATTTAAAAGCATCAAAACAGAATACTTAACATCATGAACAAACTACGGGAAATTAGAAATAAAACCATCTTCTGTAGCTCATTTATTGAAAAGAATACAAGATGAAGGTCATCCCTACTCACTTTCACCGTCAGACCATTGTCCAGTAAAGCCCTTTTCTCCCTGCATATGAAAGCTTTTTTCTTCTCAGCCAGATCCATCATCAACAGGGAAAAAAATCAACAATGGAAAGAATATATGCCGCCAAAAAGTCTTGAAAGAATAGATCAGCATAAACCATACAAAATCCTAGTCACCAATCACCTGACGAGTGTTGAAATTATAGAAACTTGAAGCATGCTGGTCACGTTGGTACTTGCCAATATTGTTTTATAGTTCTCGCGATAGAAAGATTGACAATTCAGCACTACCACGTGTCATTAACAAAGCTAGCAAGAGTCACCATTACGAAATAAAGAAATAAATAGTCAACAGCATGACTGTAATTTTATAGGATGTTCCTAAGGAGAAGATTATAACTTGCGGTGAGATGCATGGCACAAGCCGCACAACCCAATCAAAATAACACTGGCCTAAAATTTGACAACTGCATAATTAAAAAGGAGAACCTTGGAAGACATCGATGTTGAAAAGTAAGATTTGTTAATTTTCCTCAGATTTCATATCTAGATGTAACAATTAAACATAATCATTCTATTTCCCTCAGTACTTGACACACTCATGGCACTGTTTTTTTCCACTGGTCGTCTTTCTTAAATAGAAGCTAGTCAGGGTTTTTTCTTTTTTGTAATCAACATAAAAAGATAACAATCTCAAAGCTGCTAGCAGCATATACATGCATATAGTAGTGCTGTTCCAGGATATGCATGAGAAAAATCTTGTCCGAGACTGAAACAAGTTACATAGTTCATATAACATATACATGACAACAAGGAATAAAAAGGACAGGAAAGCACAATTAAACCAAACATACACAGGTGTAGCTGAAACCCCTTTCAATGGAGGTGGAGTATCCACAACAGTGCATATCACACGCTTGGGAACTGATCCTGACAACGGTATATCGTCAAAGAACCGCAACATGACCTTCATTTCCTCTGTCAGTGAAACATATCATGCCAACCTTAATTATAGATTAAGTAGCATGGAATAAGAAGAAGTGATTAGAAACCGTAATTTCCTCTTCTTGTTTGAGTGTATTTAAAATAGAAAAGAGTGGAGGGAAATAAAGTAAGAAAATGGACTAAAGAGGCTCCACCAATTCACATGTGTAGACAACATAAAAGGTAGTTGGCGGAATTTCCCTCTCATTTCCTCCCATTTTTGGGAGGCTGAGGCCCATGAGGAATTGGTTACCTCCCATTTTTCCTCTTTCCCACCAACTTTATTGAGAAAGCAAGAAATAAATTCCCTATGTTATCATTTTCCTTTAATTCCTTCCAATATTCTCAAAGCAAACGCGGAAGGTAATATTCTACGTACCTTTCAGGTAAACACCAGCTTTTCCAAACAAATCCCTTTTCACATCCACTTGCTCAAATGTCCGAGGGCTGATAATAAATGAAATTACATGTGGCATATACAAGGTGAAGACCTAGCTTTTACTAGAAAGAAAGGAGGGGGGTGGTGTAGCTTACTCTACCAAGGCGACTTCGTCCGCCATCGTGCACATGCATGTGTAGGACTTCTCCTCGACAAATACTTCTGGATCGGATGAAAGATAGAGAGAAAATTACTTCACTTTATTAAATACGCATTGAACAATACGAGTTCATTCTTCTCTTTTTGTATATTGGAGTTTTTTGAGAAGGTAAGACTAAAACGGCTTGCTATCAGCCCAATTAGGACTAATCTTGGTGATCTTGTCTACTCTTCAATGGCAAAATACTCTAAAGAGATTCAGTCACATGATTAACTATGGAAAAGAATTCTCATATAGGTCAACCTGTTCCACAATGAAACAACTCCAGGGTTCCAAATGCATCTTCAAATGTAAGTTCAGAGCTAAGGCTGACGAACGACTTAGGTGATTAATAATTGATCATACTCTCTATTTGGAGTGATCTGACAAGGCAAGCCTCAAATGATTTGCGATCGGCCCAACTAGGACATATGTGATGGCAGCATACTCTAATAGATTTAGTTTCATGATTTAACTATTAAAAAGAATCTTCCTATAGGGGATAAAATCCATCTTCAAATGCAAGATCGGAGTTAAGGCTGACGAATAAGTTAGGTGATTAAGTAGATTTAAAGCTTGCTTAGGTTTGCCGTGACATTTAGTGTTGGAGTTATTGTGCTTTACAGGGTTGTATACTCGTAAGGTAGCTCTAGTGTAAAGGGCATTTTGTTAGAAAAATCCTAAAAATGCTGCACTGAAGGTGCTTAATAAAGTGTTTGACAAGTAATGCTGTGAGGTGCTTATCTATTAGGAGTTCAATAGAACACACAATATAACTTTGCAAGACTAAATTTGTTTGTCCAATACTAAAAACAAAATTTTTATTAAAGGCTTTTAAGATTTAAAACCACTGAGGTCTGAAGAAACTTTCATATATGAAGAAGAGTAGTAAGTATAAGCTGCAAAAGCATCCACAGGTCGCTTCTTAATCACAACTTCTAAAGTAGAACACCCTTATTAAAGCACTACCAAATTCACTCAAGACTCCAGAAACCACAAACCTGAAGCTAGAAAACAAATCGATGTGACTAAACTTAATTACAATTTCGACCAAAAAAAATAATAAATTACAATATTAATTTAAGCTTTCTAAACTAATAAACAGGAAAAAAAATTTACAAAGGGTCTCTACTATTGACTAAATTATAATTCAGAAAAGGTAGAAAGAAGTGCCTGCTCTAATTTTAATATGGCAATGGTCGACTGGATCTGACTATGTCAGAGGAGGACAGTTCCACATCAAAACCCAAACATTTGTATGTTATAAACTTCTCTAATCTCTCTAAGTTAGGCTAATATTTGCATGAAAGGAAGGGGAAGATGGATGCGTACTTTCAATAGATTCATCTGTATTAAACCGTGCATTCGTTTTATTTCCACTCTCAACATCACGGAGCTCCACCTATGACAAGCAATCAATTTAGTGCAAACTCAAAAGCAACAAAGAAGAAATTAACATAAAGTGACCAGTAGAGAATGAACATAAAGACATTATACTGCGACCAGGCATTCAGAATCTTCATAGGAGCAACAGAAAAGAGTACATAACTTTCATTCAAGCAGTCAAAGATATTGCGGAAACAGCAATGATTATTACAACATTGGTTGATCAGCATAATACCTACCATAAAGAGTTTAAGATTGAAAAGTAGAAAGCCTTGGGCACCAGACAAAAAGGGAAATAAGGTTTTAAAATAAACATCAGGAAAAAAGACAGAGTCTCCTTTAAAGTTAAATCCATGAACATACACCCACCTAAAAGTTCTCCATGTTGAAGCTAGCTATAATAATCCTTGTCTAATTTTCCCTTTGGGTAATCAACTTGCACCAAGTGACAGCACCACTTTTGGCACAGACACGTCAAATAATGTCAACTTTTTGTTGCAAAACAAATTAATCCAGTACAAGTCCTCTTCCAGGTGATGATCAGTGGCCGTGTGAGGATGAAGTTCTTCGTTGCAACCTAGATCTGTCCTAGCTCAATGGTGAAAAGATGTAGATGCGCTAATTTCTCCTTCCCCGCCAAAATCCACTCAAGATACACAAGTGTTTGTTCATTCACTTAAGCAACTTCAAATGAACATCAGGATTTTAAGATTGCAAAATCAATAACCGAATGGTCCCGCATCACTAGCAAGCATCAGATAACATCAATCTGACCTGTACGGTTCTATGCCACTTGATCAAACGTTCCACGTACCCCATGTAATTAATGTCAAAACATTCTTGGACTAATTTGGGATAAAATTCTGAGAACAAAATCTCAAACATTTCACTAACAGTTATTTTTGCCTCTTGTAGACCAACCTTAATAAGCAACTGAGAAAATCAAGTATTGCCCTTTATACTTTTAGGAGTGCCTCAGTCAACCTCTACTATTTAAAAGGTCACAGTCAACCTCCTGAAGTTGTATTTTTTCCTCAATTTGGCTCAGAGCCTAGTTCCAATCCCACTCAAAGCCCGTGGCATAAAATGAGCAAATTCGATCCATGGGTAAGGCTAGAATACTTTGCATACTCCTTTTCTCTAGCTTATGACATTCAAAAATCACATGCTATTTTTTAAATCACTCCAAATTAGACGAAGAGGAGACATGTACTTCACTTTGGAAATTCTGTTGTAGAGAAAAGATGTTGTAAACATAACATGCCTCAGAATGTCATATTAGAAGCCAGGGTAAGAATTTTGGACCAAACTTAGATGAAATAAAATAATGAGTTGACTAAGACAAATTAAATCATAAGGGATTGAGATAGCCATGGAAGATCATAGGCCAAATGTAAACCGTGTGTTTGTTTCATAAAAAAGTAATGATTTGTTAATATATTTTCCTAAAAACAATTTTCTATATCGTTTAGAAATACTAGTCAAAGGAAAAAACTTTCATTATAAACAACAAATTTATGGTTAAACATTTTTGTTGATGCTGAAAATATTATTCCTTAATTTTTATAAGAAAAACAAGTGATCAATATTAGAAAAGTATTTTCCAAATTGTAGATTCTATGGGAAACATACACACCCTAACTGTAAAACAATTGATGCCAGAAAAACATCACAATATTCCAAAATAAATTGTGAAAGCATGTTGCAGAAACATGGACATTTGTTATAAAACCTGTATCATGGCAGATCCTCGGCCCTGTTGGTTATGATCAGCTTTCACAACCTAAACAAATGCATCTAACAATATTAGAGAAGTTATCGTGTTTAGACATGTTTAACAGGCAAAATTTAAAATGAATAGACTGAACCAACCTCGTAGAGACGACCTGAAATACACATCAGTGTACAGAGATGAGTGAAGTCCATCAGTATGTTGAAGTTAAACAAAAAGTGAAGCTATAATAGTCCATACAATCATGATGCAACCTTTTCTTTCAACAACATTGCCAGGTCTTACCTGCAATATTGAAGATGCGATTGGAAATGAATAAAGATACTACTGCACGAAAAATACCAAACTGAACAACATGATATGCTCACTCAATGCGCAAATCCTGATTTACTACTTAACAATCAAGTCCAAATATGAAACAGCTGATACTCATCAAACTGGCTACCCTGTATGCTGTTTGATGTTTGTTGGATATCCCTATCCAATTATTTGGAGGAATCTCTCACAGTCACACCAAACTTATCCTGCCGCATCTCGAATCTAACTATCTCAAAATTCGCCACCTGAAATGTCAAGTTCATCAACTGGGGACTCACCCTGTTGCGCAAAACCTACGAACCCATTTAAATAGACCGTCGACTCACTAATCTTGTTAGTAAGCATGTTCGGAGTACGAAATTCGACCAATGACCACAGTGCAGCCAGCATAGAGAAATCCTTGAGAATAAGAACAATTTACCCACAGAGGAATAATCCAATAATCACATAACAGCAAGGCCATATACGTAACTACCCAGGAACCCCTATTCGCATCTCCAATGAATGGAGCATAACATCAAACACATCACGCGCTCTCCAACCTCTTATCTCAACAACTCACGACCTCATACTTTAAAGAATGAAAAGTTGAAATCAAGACGCCCTGAGCATTACAAGACCCCAACTCAGCTGGGCTTTCAAGTAACAAAAAACCCATTGCGCCAAACTGTTCGCGCATCGAACGAACCGAAACTATCGCGAATTCCGACGCCAACCCAGCAAGATGGGGGAACCACGCAAGCCGAGCGCGTTAAGCTATCTGCTGAAAAACGAGTTCTTGCTAGCCTGCGCCAATGCGCGCGTGAAGAGGAACTTACGTCGGATCCGCGGACTTTGACGCCGCGTTGCTGGAGGACGGACCATGGGGAGTGAAAGAGAGGCCTGGCTGCGCCATCGCTCTCGAAAGATGGCGGAGGCGGCGGGTGCAACAGCGAGGATGCGACGGTCGTCGCCGCCGCCGCCGACGAGCGGGGAGCGGAGGAGGCAGCAGCGGCGAGCAGAGCTCGAGAGAGCCGCTTGCTCGCGAACGATGCGTTCATGGAGCGCGCAAAGCAGAGACACTACTCTCTCTCCCTCTCTCTCGATGCCGGGGGTTCTTGTGGGAGCCGCTATATTTTACCGAAATGTGTGTATACGTATATATACATACATACATACATATATATATATATATATATATATATGCGTGTGTATCGTGTTGATCCTACCATTAAAAACATTAATGAAATGCTGACGTGGCCGTTTAAGAACCATATCGATTTTTCACATATCAGGCCATAGTAATTGAACACGAATTATATTAACGTTATTTGCAAAGAAAATGAAGAAAAAAAAAAAAAGTTATTTCACCAACGGAGGATGGCGGGGTCGCCTTGTAATAGCCATTGGCGAGCCTCGTCGGGGCTTGGCAAAGAGAGAGAGAGCATGTAGTCCAAGCAAGGCTACGGCCCTCGCTGGCCTCGCCACTAGTTGGAGAGGGCCCGCAACCCTCGTATTCGCTTGAACGTCTTCCTTTTTTATCCTTTCTGTTCTGTGCAAGCGTTTGGGATGGTTTTACCCAAGTTAGCCCGGGAAAAGCCAAACCCATGACCGTTTTGGAGCTTGGGGTAGGTTTGCCTCGTGCCCAATGGGTTAAGGCACGGTATGTCGAAAAAAAAACGAAAAGAAAAAAATAATTAAAAATTCGAATTTTAATAAAAAGAAAAAAAGAAAAAAAATAATTAAAAATTAGAAGGTGAAAGAAGGAGAAAGGGGAAATGATTTTCTAATCATTTCCCCACTTTTGAAGGTGTTTTTTTTTTTCCATCGAGGGAAAATAGATTAGAAAAATTTGCCCGGATTAGGTTGTTAGATTTTAGTATTAGAATTAGTTTAGTTTCAATTAGATAGTACACAAATAGGTTAGAAATTTGCGATTTTCAATAGTTTAAATATATGAAAATTAGTTTCTTTAAAAAATTGAATTTAATTTGAACTAAGCTCATGAGAGTTGCTGCGTGTAGGGACGACAAATAGGTGGGTCATAAATGGGTTTAACCCAAATCCATCCATTTAACTCATATTAACCCATTTATTCCCTAAAGAATTTAGATAACCCACGCCCAACCCAGCCCACGTCCAACCCAAACCCACCCATTCGGGAGAGCCGCAACATGAATTAATGACATATAAACATATATATGTATAAATATATAAACATACATGTGTGTACATATTTACAAACATATATAAACCTACGTATGAAAAAAGTTCAAAAGCTGTTGCGTGGGGCAAGTGTTGACTTTTTCACAACTGCTTTTGTGTTATGCCACTGGCTCTTAAGGTTCATATTATGGATTGGACACATTTATTTTCTAAGGTTCCTTTCCTTGATTAGCTTGTTGAACGTCCTCATTTTGTTAGTATTGTTTACAACTGACTATAAATGTGCTTTCTTGAGAATTTCTTATGTGGCCCGCATGGATTTCGTGTCCTCGTTGCGAAAGAATAAGTACCCATTACCGGTTATTGCATTGCTGCTCCATGTTGACGGTCCACCATTCTGTCACATTTCCATCAGGTACGTGATGTATGTTGCTGCGGCATCATTTAAGTGGAAACTGATTATTTCATTGTTCTTAAGTCTACTTTCTTGTACCTATTCTCTTAATCGTGGACGTCGGCAGAAGATTCATGCAATAGAACAGGAACTACTTGTGTGCTCATTGATAGTATTGACTGCACTTTCGTCATACTTGTGTGCTCATTGATAGATTAGTGGTACTAGAACAATTATGTCACGTGGTGGTATGTAAGCATTTCAAGAAATTATGAATAGACAAATGAAATATCTTATGCGACTTCCAGGAGTTCACCCAAAGTGAAGGCACAACCGCTGATAGTGTACTAAAAAAGGATGATGCTAATGAAGGCAAACAACATAAAAAAAAAAAGTTAAACAGACTAATGAAGATAAATCTCGACAAAAGAGAAACTGCGATCACAAGTGAATAAATCTTAGTGTCACTTACTAATAAAATAAAGTCGACTTCTGCGTGCACTCAGACATGGGAAAAAGGATCACGAGCCTAGAAAAAATTCACATTGATCTGAAGCCCTAGGAAGCCCCTTCAAAAGTGGCAGCAAGCTCTCCGGGAGTTGCTTTCCCCATGGAGGATGTACGAATAATTTCTCCAGTACTCCGGCAGTCCTCAGTACATTTCTTATAGCTAAGAGTGCTTTATCCCCGACTTGAAATCTACTGATTTTGATCACCTTAAGTGACGATACGAAGCACCGAGGCGTGGGGTTGAATATTGCATCCACCGTTTCGGACTCCGAATGAATGCCCTGATTCATTGCATTCACGGGTTAGTTGATCAAATCTCATCAGTACAATCGTCTGGAAACAATAACAGCAGGACAATTTACATACCCGCGTAAAGCTCAGATGACTCAAGCGAGGACACTTATCGAGCATCGCAACAAGGAATCTAGATTCTAAGGGCAAACCATTAAACGCGTCCAATGCCAGCTCAGTGAGGTTAGAGAAGACCGGGAGAGACTTGAGAAGATCTGGTCTCTCGTGTAGAAACTGAATAAGAAGGCCGAAAGACATACGTTAACAGTGCCGTAACAAATACATTGTATGATCCAATACTGAAGCACTGAAGAGTATAACAATAAAAAGACACGTACCTCACCCACGTTATGTAGAGTAAGACGTTTCACACAAGAAAGATCCTTTAAGAGCTTATATCCATGGTAAGCAACATGATGATGAGGCCTTTCGCAGATGAACATATCAATGCGAGCCACAACCAGGGAGGACGAACTCGATATCGTATAGCGATCGATGAATTGCCCGCTATAAGTAAAGGACTCGATACGAGCTCCGTGGACACCTACATAGAAGGTGCTTTCCAAGTTCTTATAGAAGCTATCTTCGACTATGTCCAGCCTCAAAAGCTTGGGAGCAGAGATATGAAGAACCTTGAGTCTCCTCCACTTGCAGGCGATAAGAGACAACTCCTCAAGAGAAGGGCACGAGAGAAGCTTCTCTACTGAACTGTCGCCCCCAAAGTCGACCCACGCAAGAGTTAAGACCTTGAGGTTTTTCAGACAAACTAAAGCAGGGAGCCTCAGCTCATGCGACATGAATAGATGGAGCTCGATCAGCGTTTCGCAGTTGAAGACACAACTGGGCAACACGTATTCGAGCAATCCTCCGTGTCTGCGCACGTGGAGCTCCTCGACTCTGCGCCTCACTGCGGCTGTAATCCAAGCATCGATGCGAGATCTATCGAAATCTGTTTGGCTGGAGATGGAAAACCTTTTCAGGGGAAAGTCCTGGAGCAGCAATGCTCTGTCAACAAAGTTCACAAAGTGCGTCTGCCCCGGGAAATTGCGTTCTGAGGTATCGAGCCTAGGATTGTTCTTGGACAAGTACTCCCACCTTTTCGACAGCGTGCTCATTCTCACCACATCTTTCAGCCGGAGGAAACTTAGGACGTGCCAAAGAATCTTATCGTGCAAATCACACAACTGCGTGGAGCTGCGAACATCTTGCCCTTCATTTAAGTTCATCCATTGAGCTTTTTGAACCAGAGGCCTCACGTCCATGAGTTCCGCAACCTATCGCGTGTTTGTTCGGAGTGTAAACTGAATAAGCTTAGCGCGTTCCCTTTGACGATCGAGCGAGAATCAACAGCAAAAAAGGAAACAAATTCCCATGATAGGAATGGTTGAAGCTTAACAACGACAGTGAAACCCTAAGGCCAGAAAACAAAAGAAAAAGTTGTACCTTTTCCGGCGAGGGAATTGAAGCAAGTGGAGGAAGGAGAAGAACGAGCACAAAGCTCAACAAGTAAATACAAAGATATAGTAGATTCCTTTGTCAACGAGTACATTTAAAGAAGGCAAATCCTTGGAGGAAAATTCGTTTGTTATATTATTCAATGCCAGAGAGATAACAAACAAGATATTTCCCTTAATTATTTAGCAACTAATTATGCGCATTGGATTTGCGTGCCTGAGAATAAATTATGATTTATTATGATACTAAAGGTTGTCAAAACGATTCGAATCCCGGCGGCGTTAGGGATTCTTAAGCGTGACGTCGTGGTGGTGGGTCTGCGCTAGCACACCCCGGTTTACCTCCTCATTGTCGGCCGTGCGGGGGTTCCGGGTTACCAAAAAAAAAAAAAAAAAAAGGTTGTCAAAACGAGATTTCGATAAGTAAGAATGGTTTAGCTTGCCAAAGATAGGGAAGATTTTCATTTCAATTTGAAAAGTGTTGGGGATCTAAGAAATTATGATTTAAAGCGTTGGAGATTCATCTTAGATTTTATTTTCGATCTCGTCCCTCACTCGATGACATACCATCTTAATTTGCCATGCTTTTCATGAAATTTATGGGAAAAAGTTTTAAGTTCGAAACCTTATACTACAAAAAAACATGAATTTTGGACGGAAATTTGCGACGGAAATTTTTCGTCGCTAATTTGCGACAAACTTTGAGACAGATTTCTAATTCCGTCGCAAATTAGCGACGAAAATTTTCCGTCGCAAATTAGCGACGAAAATTTTCCGTCGCAAAATTCGTCATAAATTTGCGACGGAAAATTTTCGTCGCTAATTCCGTCCCAAATTAGCGACGACTAGTTTTTCGTCGTAAATTTGCGACGAATTTATTTTCTGTCGCTAATTTGTACAATGAAATTTACCATTTTGCGACGAAAGTAGAGATAAATTGGATGATTGTCACAAGTTCAAATTCAAAAGAGATTGGACAATTTGCTACACGTCCAATTCTAAGAGAGATTAGATTTACAAATTCAAATTAGATAAGAAGATCTATTATAAACTCAAGATATTAGATAATCTCTTAAAATGTTCTCATCCCAAATAAGCTTTTTTAGATTTGATAGGTGCAAATCTTATCTTTTCTTTTTCAAGACTTAGATATAGATAACGCAGATATCTATTTAGTTGAATGTGGCGGTTTTCTCCGCATGTAGCTCTTATGTATGAGTAAATATATGGGTAAATAAATTATAGCAATTTTCAAATAGATCGGAATCGGGTGGATGTATGAAATGTAAAGTCAATGTATCTATATAGGGATATCTATAAGAGATCTTATAAAAGAGATATTCTTATTTAGACCTAACCAATTTGATCGAACCAATTAGATGAACTCCTAAAGGGTTACATTCGAATGATAAGTGAATAGAGGGCATGCATTCTATTAGAGAAATATTTAGAAGATTCCCTATATTTTCTTTAATTGATTGTAATTGATATTTTCCCTTTTAGATAGTCATCCTATAAAACCGATAAATAGGTTCGTGTACTCTTCATTTGATATATTTTTTTTTTTTTGCTCTTAATTTTTTTATCACATTCTTGACTTGGTATCGTAGGCCTATATTGTTATTTGAGAAAGCGTCATCGTGCCTGTTTGTAACAACGACATCCACATCAATCATGTTTCTCCACGGTGTTCGTAATGCTAGTCACATTATATGTAAAAGTGTAGAAGCATATCTACTCAAGGTTTCGACGGAATTAGCGACGTATTTGAAAAATTGGTCGGTAAAAACATTTCCATCGCTAATTCCGTTGCAAATTTGCAAAGGAAACAAAATCTGCGATGGAAAAAAATCCATCTCAAATTTTGCGACGGAAAAAAAAGCAGTTGCAAAATTTATGACGGAAAAAAAAATCAGCAGAAAATTTACGACGGAAAAAAATCCTTCGCAAATTTTGCGACGGATTTTATTTCCGTCGCAAATTTGCGTCGGATTTTATTTTTGGGGCAAATTTGCGACGGATTACTTTTCCGTCGCAAATTTGCGACGGATTTTTATTTTACGTCGCAAATTTGCGACGGATTTTATTTCCGTCTCAAATTTGCGACGGATTTTTTTTTCCGTCGCAAATTTGCGACTGATTTTTATTTTCCGTCGCAAATTTGCGACAAATTTTTATTTTTGTCGCAAATTTGCCACGGATTTTTATTTTCCGTCGCAAATTTGCGATGATTTTCTTTCCGTCGCAAATTTGACGAATTTTTATTTTTTGTCGCAAATTTGCCACGGATTTTATTTCCGTCGCAAATTTGCGTAATTTTCTAATTTTTTTCCGTCGCAAATTATTTTTTTCCGTCGCAAATTTGCGTCGGATTTTATTTTGGGGGCAAATTTTCGACGGATTTTATTTCCGTCGCAAATTTGCGACGGATTTTATTTTCCGTCTCAAATTTGCGACGGATGTTGTTATTCCGTCCATGATTTGCGACGATTTTATTTTCCGTCGCAAATTTGCGACGGTTTTTCCCTCGCAAATTTGCGTCGGATTTTATTTTTGGGGCAAATTTGCGACGGATTTTTTCTATCGCAAATTTGCGACGGATTTTATTTCCATCGCAATTTTTATTTTCCGTCGCAAATTTGCGACAGATTTTAATTTTCCGTCACAAATTTGCGACCGATTTTATTTCCGTCGCAAATTTGCGACGGATTTTATTTTCCGTCGCAAATTTGCCACGGATTTTATTTCCGCGCAAATTTGCGACGGATTTTTATTTTCCATCGCAAATTTGTGACGGATTTTATTTCCGTCGCAAATTTGCGACGGATTTTTCTTTTCCGTCGCAAATTTGTGACGGATATTTTCCGTCGCAAATTTGCGTCAGATTTTATTTTTGGGGCAAATTTGTGACGGATTTTTTTTCCGTTGCAAATTTGCAGCGGATTTTTATTTTCCGTCTCAAATTTGCGACGGATTTTTATTTTCCGTCGCAAATTTGCAACGGATTTTTTTTCGTCGCAAAATTTGCGACGGATTTTATTTCCTCCATCGCAAATTTGCGACGGATTTTATTTCCTCCGTCACAAATTTGCGACGTATTTTTTTTTTTCGTCGCAAATTTGCGACGGATTTTTTTTTCCGTCGCAAATTTGCAACGGATTTTTTTTCCGTCGCAAAATTTGCGATGGATTTTTTTTTTCCGTCGCAAATTTGCGTCGAATCGAAAATTTTCAGGAACCCGCGTGCTATCCCCCCTCGCACCATCGTCTCCCCTTCGCTCGCTCTTTTTATTCCCCCACCACCACAGCGTTCCCCCTCTCTCTCTAACTTCTCTCCCTCTTTCTCTCTCTCTAGCCTCCTCTGCCGCTCCTCCGCCATGATCCGCCGCCTCCACCAGCCCCACCTCCTCCCCTCCGACTCCCTCGCCGCCTCCTCCGGCGACGACGAGCGCCACCGCCAAGCGCGGCAGCTACAACTGCGGCCGCTGCGACCTCTCCAAGAAGGGCCGCTCCTGCCATGCCGGCTCCTCCCCTCCCCCCGCCGCCGACTCCTCCTCCGCCGCTGCCGCTGTCGCAGCCTCCTCCATGCCCGTCAACGCCGCTGCTGCCGCCTCCTCTGCATCCGCCGTCGCCCTCACGCCGTCCTCGCTCTCATCCGCCGCGTGCTCTCCTTCGACGACCTCGACGTCCGCGCCAACGAGGAGGAGGACTTCGACGAGGTGGAGCCGGATCTCGACGAGCGAGATCGGGATTTCGTGGACGGGGATGCGGTCGCCGGGGTTGCCCGCCGTGTGCTTGTGGGAGGTCCTAAGGAGGTTGCCGCCGGAGCCGCTGCTCGCGGTGGTGCGGGTGTACAAGGGGTGGCGGGAGATCTCGAGGAGGGTGTGGTGGGCCGCCGAGGATATGAAGCTCGGGGTTCCCTCGAGCTCAGCTCTGTCGAGAATTTATATTAAAGCATGTACTATTGTTGCTAATATTCATGTACTTGATATCGAGGTTAGAAGGAACTCGCAAGGTGAGTTTGTGGTAGATATACCAGGGGTTTCAGCCGTGGATTAGATACAATTTGCATTGTACCGAGTTGTGAGGAGGCCAACTGTAATAAATTTTTGCTGCACATTCGTAACTATTTTTATAATTCGTTGCTAATTTGCGACGAATTAATAAAAATTTGTCGCTAAATTCGTTCCCGAACAATGTTCATGGCAAAATAGCGACAAATTTTGCCACGAATCAGTTTGTCGCAAATTATTAACAAAAAAAAAAAAGAATTTCGTGGCAAATTAGCAACAAATTTTGCGACGAAAAATTAGCGACGAATTTTGCGATGAAAAATTAGCGACGAATTTTGCGACGAAAAATTAGCGATGAATTTTACGATGAAAATTTGTGACGAAAAATTATTGACAAATTTTGCAATGACTTTTGCGACGAATTTTGCGACGGATTTTGCGACGATTTTTGCGATGAATTTTGCGACGAAATATTTGCGACGAACTTTGTGACGGATAGTGTTCGTGGCTAATTTGCGACGAATTTTGTGACGAAATATTTGCGACGAACTTTGCGACGGATAGTGTTCGTGGCTAATTTGCGACGATTTTGCGACGAATTTTGCGACGAAATATTTGCGACGAACTTTGCGACGGATAGTGTTAAGCTAATTTGCGCGATTTTGCGACAATTTTTTTCGTGCAAATTTGCGACAAAAATTGAAATTTTCCGTCGCAAAAATTTGCGACGACCTAGTAGCGACGGAATTTTTTCCGTCGCTAAATTCATCGCAAAAATGATTTGCGACGGATTTTT